ATCCTTGAAATTATATAAATCCTGTTTCCAAGAGACTTTTTGGGACACTCCACATTCTATGTGCAGATTTTTTTTTAAAGGTGGCCTTCAACTTTCATCCAGTTGGACATACTCATGAGGATATTGACCAACTCTTCAGCTCAGTGAACCATTATCTGAGGGTTAGAGACACATGCACAGTAAATGGTTATTTTCTTTGTATGCCTAGTTTATCGCTTTGGCTTGATTCTGAATGCCACATGAAAATTAAATTTATCTTTCTGTTCAATTACAGATTTGATGATGTGTCTGCAAGAGATTAGAAGAAGAGGGAGACCTGAAAATCTTCATGCTGAAGAATTGAATGCCGTCCACAACTTCAAGACTGTCATCCAGGATCATTTTCCACGTCATTTTCGTGGACCAAACCTCATTCATTCCGATTCAGGAAATCCAAAGGAATCACACAAATGCACATTCGATTGCATGCTGGAGAAGCCTGGTGCCCCAATGAGCATGATATTCAATACATCAGGGAGTGCCTTGGCCCAGACCTTGGATATGTATGTCTACAGGTAAGGAGAGTGCAATGACTGACTAATATCCCTAGTTGAGGTCATTAAGCATCCCTGACATTATAAAATTTGTGTAAAATTAAATTGGATTAGACTGATTTTAGTTTTATAACTTCAAGCGGTTCCTAATATGAAATGTCACTTTTGCAGGAGTATAGTTGTAGAAGTCTTTCTCAGGCTTGGAGTTGCTCATGAAATTATTAACTAGGAACGTGTGGAATGCCTTTCCCCCTTTTCACTTCTTGATTCATTTTCACCTCCCAGACGACTCCAGCACTCAATGCATTCGGTGTTCTGGTGCCTCCTGATTGGAATGCAGCTGGACTAGAGGTGGTGAGGGCATCCATCCAAAATTACTTCCCAGAAATGTCTGAAGACAAAGTCCACGCTTGGCATGTGTTTTCTCCAGACACGCAGCAATCCATGGTAATGGCGGTTGTATGAAGTCTCAAATATGTTTTATTAGCAATTAACTTATGGAATTAAACTACCAGATATGCATTGGTCTATCCCCAGGAACCAGTATTGTACCTTCTAAAGCTGAGAGACTACAAGAACGCTTCAACTGAACAACCTGCCGGCTTAACTCCAACCATGCAATCCTACCTGGCGAACATGAAAAGTCAGATGCTCGGACCATTGCAACAGGTGAGAATATTTTTCCTAATGTTAGAGGCATCCACATTGCACTTGAACGTTTTCAAGTAGTCGATCATTTTTGCAAAGCTGAACTCCAGACTTAATTTCCTGTATGCACTCCACAGCCTATCATCGGTTCCATTGGCAGTCGGAGACTGGGCATATGTGCTGGGACCAACGACCTTCATCCGGGGATGTTGGCCGTCGTCAATACAGAGGAGAAAACGTCACGGCCATGGATGGGAAAGATAACCTCCGTAGAAGAGAAAGAAGTGACCATCCACTGGTACCAGGGGACTTGTGAGAAATCTTGGAACCCAATGACTGGAGTTGAAAGCCTTTCAACCGTTCCCCGAGAATCACTCCTCTTATGGGGATTCACTCTACAAGACAAGAGGCAGCTGCTGAGGAGCGAAATGAGGGAAGAATTAAAGCGGCTTTATCAAGAGACTGACCAAATAATGCAACGTGAACCAGAGACTTCAGAAGAAAACTAGGTACGTGCTTTTTTTATTAATGTAACCTTATATACAGGTCCAGCCCAACCATTCAACAGAATGTTCATTTCAATATTGATTTATCTCGAATCAAAATATCATGAATGGTGTTTGTTCACTTGGACAATACCATACCTGATATTTCATGCAGTTCATTGCAATGAACAGGGTGAATCAAAAGTCCTTGAACACCTATTGTAAAAACCGGTGGACATGTGATAGCCACGTGATTTTTTGAGTGAAGCAACACCTACTACAAATCTATTTGCCAACCAAGTTTCAGGTCGAAAGCCCTTGATATGACTCCCAAACATCAAAGAGAAGCAGTGATATTTCACTACCAGAGTGGTCTTCCAGCAAGTAGGATCTCAAAGCTCACCAAAACCCCACGATCTACTGTCTACAGCATTATTCGGCGATACAATGAACTTGGATCAGCAGCAGATCGCCAAAGAAGTGGACATCCTTCAGTGTTCCAGGATAAAAAGGCTCCAGAAACGAGTCAGGCAACTGCTATACCGAAACCCAGAGCGTTCCGGAAGAAATCTTGCGCAAACCTTGGGAGTGGACAAAGAGACCTTGCGAAGACACATCAGGGGAAAGCTTTGCATGAAGCCTTTTAAGAAACAAAAGGTGCAGCTGCTTACAGAGATCAACAAGAAGAAACGAGTTCAAAGGCCCGCCAGTTGCTCAAACGGTTTAACCAGTCCTCACTCCAAAGGATTGTTTGTTCTGACGAAAAAATGTTCACCATAGAGCAAGCTTACAACCCCAAAACAATCGCCTCTGGGGTTAAAAGCTTTCCTCTGTCAAGCCTCACCAGCGATATGTCCGTCGAGTTCAAAAACCAGGTAGTGTGATGGTGTGGGATGGTGTTTGTGCTTCTGGCAAAACTCCCCTGCATTTCGTGCAGCCTCAGGCCAAGATTAAATCCTAGCTACTATCAGGAGTGTGCATTGAAGAAGGTGCTACTCCCCTGGACTCAGGATCATTTCAAATCCCAAACTTGGACATTCCAGCAGGACTCAGCATCTGCTCACAAGGCAAAATCCAACATATACATCTGCAGAACTCACTTTCCAGACTTGACTTCCTCAAAAGAATGGCCTGCTATTAGTCCTGATTTGAATCCATTGGATTACAGTGTGTGGTCATACATGGAGGCCAAGTTCTACTGCAAGCCACACAAGAGTGTCAATAGCTTGAAGCTTGATCTGATGAAGGCATGGAATGAATTGTCGGTTGATCAGTTGCGAAGAACCATAAATGATTTCCCAAAACGTCTGACGCAGATTATTGCCTCAAATGGAGATATTTTTGAAAAATAAAAACATGGATGGTTCATTTTTTGGTGATCTTTTCAGTGGTCAAATCAGAAATTGAATTATTCTTCATCAGAGAATGCTACACTTGATTAAAGGTGTCCAAGGACTTTTGAGTCACCCTGTAAATGAATTCTCTTCATCCTGCAGGAATGATTGACGACAAGCTTGGAGACGTCGGATGTAGCCAGCAAAGAGCACCTGACTAGGACATATCAACCATCAGCGTACCCGGAATTTGATTCAATCCTGATGGTCAAGGCTTCAGAATACAAGATACGTTGCTTAGATTGAAGCTTTTTATCTTTTTTTTTCTTCCTGTAAGCGCAGGAGAGGGGAATGTTAGCTCTACAAAATGGGGTTGAAAAAACTTAATGTTGCACCAATCCAGAAGCGAAAAGTTTCTTCTCCTAAACTTTTGTTCGAAAGAGGACCATTTTTCTACGCTTGATGTATTACAATTTCGTAAACCTTTGTTCATTTACCAGCATGTCAAATTTTTGTGAGTTGCTTATTAGGATAATGAAAATATGAAATGAAAATATGGAAAATATGAACATATGAAATTGAGCTTTGCTAAACCTATCCCAACCTGATTTTTATGCGAATGAATTATTGAGGTTCTAACTTCTTTCACTTTTGTGCAGGGTCTCCAAGCCCTTTGGATAAGTACTGAAGTCGGGAAGGAAGATGGCGGCGGGATCTTACGAAGCCGATCGTCCAATGGATGAAGATTAGGCTCCCCTCATCCTTCAATTCTGTGCAAAAGTTGTTTTTGTCAAATGAGTGGGGATTTCCTGTTTTTTTTTTGTGCAACCCTTATCTTGTAAAGGCATATGTTCAATAAAATCCTCGTCTTGGAAGAAGGGCGGATGTTATATTCGCTGGTTGATCCTTGCATTATACACGTATTTCATCGTGAGACTGATATTTTTCCCAATCAATTTTTATCATTCAATGTGTTGGGTAACATTCAAATTGTGCAGTCATTCCGTGTTTCCCCGCATAGGATGAGACTTGAGCCACTGCGCTCCATAGTGAGAAGTAAGAGAAATTGAATTTGCAAATACACTTGCCCGTCCTTGATGCGCATTGCTCTTCAGAGGATGGGAAATGGGCCAAGTGGCTAGTTTCCCATGGAGTGTAAGCATGCGCAAGGTGTTCAACCTACAGGCTGGGAATGCGGCCAAACGGCTGAAACCCCATCGAATGAACACATAGGTCATGCTTCTCGCCCCTTGACCTTCACGTTCTGAGCCGTGCGTCGCACATCCTGGAAGGTTTGGGTCAGGCATGTCAATCCTTAATAATATCCATACGAATTAAAGTTAAGTTATTTATAATAAAGGCCTGATGGAACGAGAATGACCCAAATTCTAGGCCCACACGATGTTCGTGAATTCCCCGACGTATTGGCAGCTCGATGGTTTCTGGGATATATGCCACAGGAGTAAATTCACTTTTGACTGTGACGCCGCTCATTGGCATAAGCCGGACAGATGTGCGGCCCTTTTGTGACCAATTCTTTAATTGAACAAGCAAAATTTAATTGAATCTTGTTACTGGGTCATTCATGACTTGGGCATGGCCCGCACTGACATCTGGCACGACCTTCTGAATCCATTTTAGGTCATTTAACCAGGTTGTTGGCGCAGAGGTTCTTTAATGAAGTTTAACTAGTTTTCTGAATAGTAGCAAAAGCAGAGGTAGTTGAAATTGAAAATTGTGAAGTAGTTGTGAATGTTCTTCAAGATTAAATTACCACTCCGGATATTCATAATGCCAGAGTTCAGACACACCCTCTCGCTTATTACATTATGGTGCCACTCAAGATAGAGGTCACTTTAGTCAGCAATAAAAAAGGTTCGATGCCAAATTAGAATTTTCTCGAAGCATATTTGAGAAGGCCTATGCTCTTCTCAAAAGGAAATTCGGAATATTGCAATTCATATGTGCTCCGTCAACGTGATATCCTTCAGCGTCATTCACAACTCCATTGGCATGCTTCCCCGAATCTGGGCACGTCCACTGGAAGCCTTCCATGGTGGAAAACATGTTTGGAGTGATGATGCGACGGGAATGACTCGATTTCTGCGATTGGGTCATAGCACGTAACTCGGGTCAGGTTTCTGAGTCATCACCCGATGCATTCGGTGTCTCATGCCATGACTCGAGTTATAGTCCGGGTCACAACTGAATGCGCCCAGTGTCTTACTTAAACTCAACGTAGTTCGAGCGTCACCACTGAGTGGTAGGCCAGTCGAGGTGTAGAAGGCGTGCCATTCACGTTTGGAAGTACAGTATATGGCTGAACAAGGAAAATGACCAGTAATTGTAAATATGTGACGTATTTATCTTTCCTTAATGACATCATGTGTTCTTTGCCCATTTTTCTATCTGTGCTAATCCCCAATTACTGGATATATCCCCTCAATGCGCAGCTATGAATTCCGGTATTTCCATAAGGATATCGGTGAAATAAACCGTATTAACCTTTCCCAAAAGAGTTCTTTGCTTGTCCCTGGCTCATTTAAATTGTCATCTATGCATTATTTTCATATCATTCGATTTTTTTCAACAAGTGACTAAGTGGAAACTCCTGTCATGACCATTCCCTCACGGAAAAATCCTATAGAATCGTATTGGATGCTATAATACTTTTGAAAGAAAAACATATTATGGGATCCCATTGGAACCCTATAAAATTCCTATAATAATCCACGAAAAGTTTTGTTTCAAAAATCTCATAGGATGCTATAGGATGTCTTCCTGATGGTACATTATTTACAACGAGGAATATGATTTGCAATTCTCAATGTAGATCTTCATTGAAATGTATGTCATTACAAAATCTTAAAGACTTGGGACCGAATGCTAAAACCTCCTTTATTTTAAGATTTAAATTCCCTTTTCACCTAAAGACCATGCCATCTGCCCTTAACCCTCCTTTGCTTTGTGGGGTCTTCCTTGACCCTATGGGATGGAAAGATTAAAGAGGCGTTCCCCTAAAATGACTTTTTTTTGCGTGGCTGTTTAGTGGTTGACAGGGATTTTTTTACTTGTTCACGTTGTGTACTGCCCATAAATGACCATCGTTTCTGAATCGCTGTCGCCACGATTCTAGTCAAATGTTGGAAGAGAACGATTTGGGGTCAGTAGAGACCCCAGACAGCCTTCACGTTCTTTTCGAGACCACAGCAAGGGAGAATTAATGTGGATTGTGCATTCGGAGTTAAATTTCAAGTTAGACCCATCAGGAATCGCCTGTCATCAAACTGAACTTACAGATTGGAAATTGAGTTATTGAATTCCTACATGGTGTCGGATGGTGAAGGAATTTAAATCTCCTGTTCTCTGCTTGAAATTTCAGTTGGTCGTTTCCATTAGGGAAATAGGCAGTTTATTCAAACATCGTTGATCCATGGGTCACTTGAATAGCTCGTTAATGGTTCCATACAATAAATCTTGAAATTAGCTGCCGGAAAATCGAACCATTAATTTCTCGAAAGCAGGAGGAGGATTCTTTATTCACTTGAGATAGCCCTGTTCTTGTTATTCTCCCGTGAAATGTTGTGCTTCGAAGAATTTTGAGTATGTTAGCTTGTTACCGCGCAACAGGGTATAGATGCTGTTGACCTCGAATTTCCTTGTTTATTTGTTCATTTCTCTCAAAATAGA